AGGCTTGTGAGGGAGTATGTAAGGCATGTACTCAAGGGGATAGGCCAGGAATCAACACTGTGGCGGGCAGGACAGTGCCTCTGGACTCAGTGCCTAGGACTCAGCGCCTAGGCCACTCGCATTCCTTCTGGGCTCTGGGTGAGGAGCTGCTTCCAGACAGTGGGAAAGGGCCTGATGGAGAGGTCCCCAAGGACAAGGACGGAGGCGTGTTTGACCTTAGGACCTTTGTGGTAGATCTGATCGCCTTCATGGAAGGAAGTGAACACTCCCCACACTACACTCTGTGGTTCTGTGGGGGAGAATTGTGGCCCCAGGAACAGCCATGGGTCAAGAGGCTTGTGATGGTCAAGGCTGTTCCTACATGTCTTAGAGATGGCCCGGGAAGGGGAAGCCTTCTCACTGAAAACAGTGAATGTGTGCATCTCCAACAACCAGCCTATCTCCCTTACATCTGACCAGCATAAGGCCTGCCTCAGTACCTGGTGGAGAATATGGACTTCCAGGCACTGGAGATACCTGAGCCCCACTCAGCTGCTACCAATAAAGCAGTTTATGCCACCAAAAAAAGAAAAGAGAGAGAGAGAGAGAGAGAGAGAGAGAGAGAGAGAGAGAGAGAGAGAGAGAGAGAGAAGAAAGAAAAAAGAAAATGATAAAAGAAGCAAGAAAGAGAGAAAAGAAAAAAATTAATTTGGCTATTTATCAGAAAACTGGGAATAGTTCTACCTCAAAACTCAGCTTTATCACTCCTGGGCATATACCCAAAAGATAAGAATATAGTCCTGAGTTAGGTGACTCAGACTGAAGAGAAAATGCATGGTATATACTCACTTATAAATGGATGTTAGCCATAAATACAGGCTACTCAGAATACACTCCACAGACCCAAAGAAGCTAAACAAGAATACCCAAGCAAGGATGCCTGAATCTCTCTTAGAAGGAGGAGTAAAATAGTCTCAGGAGGCAGATGGAGGGAGAAAACTGGGTAGGTGAGGGAATGGGGAGAGAATGAGGGTTTCAGAATCAGGTGTGGGGAGGGACAGGAGAGACGTCCAGATGGCCATGAGAATGAACATAAATCTGCAACTGTTGGGGGTGGGTATGGAAAGATGGGTATATCTCTAGGAAACGCCAGAGACCTGAGATAGGGGAGGTGCCCAAGAATCAAGGGTAGTAGCTTAAGCATTTACTCACAGCATTAGGGATATGGAACCTCCTATAGCCAGGCAATAATCCCACAGGAGTGATAGAGACACCAACCTACCCACAAAACTTTTGGACTTTTGGTGACTAGATTTTACTTTTAGTGATATTATTACTTTTCCATATTTAGTCTTTTAGAAGTAAATTGATAATTACAGTTTTTGTTTAGTTTCTGAATATGTCACATTCTACTTGACAAAGATGACTACTTGGCAGAAGAAACAAGATAACAAGTTACTCATGGGAGCTAATAGGGAGACAAAGTGTGGGACAGAAACTGAAGGAAGGGCTGTCCTCAGACTGCTCCACCTGAATATCCATTCCATGTGCAGTCACCAAATGCAGACACTGATGTGGATGCCAGGAAGTGCATGCTGACAGGAGCCTGATATAGCTGTCTCCTTGGAGGTCTGCCAGAGCCTGACATATTCAGAGGCAGATGCTCACAGCTAACCACTGAAATGATCATGGGGTTTCCAATAGAGGAGTAAGACAGAAGACTGAAGGAGCTGAAAGAATTTGCAGCCCATGAGGAGAGCAACAAACCCAACCAACCAGAGCTTCCAGGGTCTAAACCACCAGCCTCAGAGCACATAGGGAGGGATCCATGGCTCCAGCTCTCTATATGTAGGGGAGGATGGCCTTGTCAGTCATAAGTAAGAGAGGAAGTCCTTGGTCCCCATGAAGGTTGGATGCCCCAGTGTGGGAGAATTCGAGGGCAGGGAGGTGGGAGTGGGTGGGTGGGTCGGCGGCAGCACATCCTCATAGAAGCAGTAGGAAGGGGAATAGGATGAGAGTTTCTGGGTAGGAAGGGAATGGGGAAATGGGATAACATTTGAAATATAAATAAAATATCCAATAAAAAATTAATTAAAAAAAGTAAAACTCAACCAATGTCTACCAAAAAAAAAACCAACAAAAAACAAAAAACAAGATAACAATGGTTGTCAAGTTAACCTATTTTCTTTATAAATGTGTATATGATATATATAAGAACAGCTTGGCTAGTAAAATAAGCTAGTTATTAGCCATGCTTTCAAAAAGAGTAACTCAGGAGAAAATCACAAGCAATGCTAGAAAGCATAGTTATCAGGCTCTTTCATGTATAAGGCCAAAATGTAAGAAGCTCTGCGGAGCTAGAAAAGAACAGAGTCAGAAACTGCCAATAATAAGTGCTAAAGTCTACTAAGCTTTTTAATAATTAACTAAATCTCTCTGAACCTTTTTGTAATACACAGCCTTAAAATAAGATCAAAACACACTTTGTATGCTTTGGAAACTATTCATTTACAAGTATAAATTCACAAGATGGAAATTTAATTTCAGCAGGATCTCTGTTTTCTGATAGTAATTTAATATAAATCTTAAGTCAAGAAGTATCATATTGATGCTTTTATTTTATATATTGTTCATTACTATAAAAATAGATGCAATTACTTTGATGGAATATATACCTAACCTTGATTTGTTTATTTATAAGAACTTTTATTTATTTGTTTGTTTGTTTTGCTTATAAGAACTTATAGAATTTGTTTATTTATAAGAACTTATAATAATTTATAAGTATGTTAGTATAGAGTGGGGATTTATAGATATATCTGTCATTCTTATCTAAGGAACATAAATATTGCCTAAACTTGTAAACATGTATGCCCTGTTATACAGTTAGTAATGACACAAAGTGTTATTTTTACTATTTAATATAATAATAGAGTTTAATTTTTATATATTCGAAATAACAAGGTGTCTAACACAGAAGATTGTAGAACAAATATTATTACCTTTCAGATATCCAAGTATATGAAACATGTTGTATCAAGTATATTTTTAGCTCTTTAATGTGTTTAGTTTTTAAGTATTTTGGATCCACGTTATAGTTTGAGAAACATTATTAATAGTAACTGGATGTATTTAAGTCATAGAATAGTTGATCCCTCAACATTCATAATGTTTTGTTCACATAATTTTATACAGATTAATTATGATATACTTTTATATATACTAGCCTCTGAGAGAAATGTTTAACACATCTGATATAAAGTAGTAAATCTACGATAAACCCAAAATAACCACATTCATCAAGTGTACCCCTGCAATAAATATACTGAATTTTAAAAACATCAAACCCAAAATAACTACATTTATCAAGTGTACCCCTGCAATAAATATATTGAATTTTGAAAACCTAAACTTCTAGTTTTATAAATTGATTCTGTGGTTTTCATGTGAACATTAATGAAAAACTTTGTATTCATACCTAGTTAGTAAAATATTTTGTGAACAACTCAATATTGTTCATCATTTTCCGGGTTGATGATTTAGTGTTTAGGACTTGTTACCCTTTCAATATTATTAATATTTAGTTTAAATAAGCAAGATATACTTAATATTGATACAGCATGGTTTAAGTATTGTTTTAATAAATTATATTGCAAATATAAACACTGAAGGAAATTTATCAAATATGGGTGGAATATTAGACTGTTTCTGTGGTCAGAAACCTAAACTTTCCTCTCATGATACTTTATTCCCACAATACACTACCAGGGACATTTTGCACCATACTAAGCTGAAACTCATTTTCCTATTACCTAGTAAATCCTCCCAAAGGTATCTTAGCTACGTTTAAGATTTAGAACTCAGAATCAAACTTGTGGGAGCTTAAATCTCATTCTTAATTTGAAATTATCTTCTCTGCCATAATAGCTCTGCAGGATTTCGATAGTAGTATCTCTTGAAAGGTTTCTTGAACTGTGGTAGTCCAAGTATTTGTTCCACCAGAATTTGAGAGGAGAAAAGTACCAGGTCTCACTGTTCATTCTGCTGCTCATGGCTATATCTGTTGGGGCAAAGGGACTCCTTACTAAAGACAAACATCTTACCCACACTTTTATGGGTCTGCATCCATTGTCCTCTCTTGTTTACTTGGTTCTCCTAGGTTAATAAATGATGTAAAAAGGACTCAGTACTCTCTATGCTTTCGTGTGTACATACACTCGGAGACCTGGACATGAGCCCCAGACTGGCTAACGAAATCAGAAGCTTGTGGCTGTTGTTTCTCTTATTGAGACTTTGCCTTCTCCAGAAATTGCAAATATTAAATCTCCCAAATTATAAACTATCAACTCAACATAATGCCACACGTAAAAAATTGCATCTCTGCCCTTCTGTGATAGATCACAATCAGAACACAAGTACACAAAAAAGTAATGTGTGAACTACAGGCAATGTGCAGAAACCAAATGTGGGTTATAAGTGAATTTGATATTTAGTCTTTCTGCCCATACCAAAGATACCTCTATATTTATATGAGATATCCCAAAGGCTGTAAGAACTGAATCTGAAATGCTTTGCCAAGGCTTTGATGAGTGATAGATAACTTGTAATTGTTACTTTCACACTGGTGAGATATAACACAGATGTTGATTGAAAACTTGCTAGTTAAGAACTTACTAATCAAGAGAGTGAAAAAACAGTGACTACAGAGACTTCCTGCCCTCATCCTTTGCGGATTCGCCCTTACTGTAATTCTTACTGTGTAGCAATGTAAGTTAAAGATGTAAAGAGATGTAAAATGCGGGCTTGGCCTGAAGCTGCTCTTGAATCAAAACATGTTTATTTTTTAAATAAAAATAGAAATTTAAAAACATACAATTCATAGTTAATAATTCATTAAGTAAAAGAACGGCTATATGAAGATATATTAATTATGAACTTTAATATATTGAAACTATAAAGGATTGCAAAGACAATAGTGAAATTTTGAATGAGAAAAATGTCTAAAATTGAATTAAACTTACCATGACCTGGAGGAAAAATTTTCAATTTACTAAATGGAACTAGCTCACATATGGATAAAGTAGGCCAAGTTTCATAAAAAGGACACTTGCGGATTAATTTCAACTTTTGTGCATTTTCACGTTTTACTTTTTCCTGAAAAAAGAATGCCCTTGTCAGATTTCAAAATGAGATCATTAAAAATTAACAAAAACTAGCCAAAAGATGTCAGGAAAAGTTTCAGCTATATGGCTATTTCACAGTATAAGTTTGAGTAGCATTTGGTTATCACAATGACCAATAGCTGTACTGTAATTTTAATATTCAGATTTGTTTGCCCAAATAATCAATTTGTTCCATAATGCTTTAAATTTCTATAAATATTAACACATTGTAAAGATATTATAAACAAGGCTCAAAAGATGTGTGTGTGTGTGTGTGTGTGTGTGTGTATGTGTAGCTATAAATTGATTTTCATGAGGGAAAATAACAAAATAAAAATATTTTAAGCAAAACATTCTGAAATTCAAACATGCTAATATCTGGCATTTGAGTAAATGTTTAATTCTGAGAAAGCCACATGTTTCTGAGATCACCACATCAAAGGAAATTTCTTACTCTTTGAGATCCTAAGCAATAAGAAAGATGTATCTACATCTTTCAGCATGAGCACTGAACCTTCAGGTATCATACAAGACCTAGATCTCTACATTAGAATCTGTCAAGAAAACTATAAGGACCTCTCAAACTCATTATTTTTATAAGTTTCTTTTACCCTCTAAAACAAGTGTGGGAATGACAGGAACAATTTTGGTTTAGACTAGAAAAATACAAATTTACATAAAAATGTCTTAAACAACAGAATGTGATGCCCAAAATAAAGTTTAAGTGTCTTTTCATCCAGTTCTGAATTTGAAAGTTTGTGCAATTCTGAATTAACATGTCAGACATTCTGTCTTTGTTTGTTTCTCTGTTGCAATAGACAAAATAACCCAAAGTAACTCAGGATGAGAGCAGTTATTCAGCCCCCAAACTACAGTGCACTATCTAGAAAATTCAGGCTAGAAGCTACAGGCAGGAACCTGGAGCCAGGAACAGAACATAAGACCTTGGGGAAATGCTATCTGCTGGGTTACTTTTTCACTTGGCTCAGCTACCTTTCTTATACTGCACAGGTGTACCAGGGCCTTCTTATATTAATTTGCAATCAAGAAAATGCCCCAGAGATATTCCCATAAGTCCATCTAATGGAGGCAGTTCCTCAACTAAAATCTCTCTTCAGGCAGGTCTGTGTCAAGTCGATAGAAAATAACTAGTCACATATTCTGAAGGAAGATTGGTATAGACTGGTGATCCCTTGAAAGCAGTAGCACTGTGACCATCCAATCTTTTGTGTTCCCATCGAAACAGCATGCTGTTGACACACAAACTACCTATCTGCTGAAAGAGTAAATGAGTGAATTTAAAGATCATAAAAAGCAGAGGAGTGCTCATAATATACACTCACAGAGACCCTGGTTTTCCTGGCAAGTACTGAAAGAAGCTGATGAAGTGCCAATCAGCCAGTAAACTACAACTTACGGTCTCTACAATCAAGACAAACTTCAAAAGTAAAATAGATGTGCACAGCATACCAATTTTAACTTCTCATACTCCTTTGTAGGTATTTTCAGGATTTCACAGTCACTATCTGTCACAATTGAACGCTCACTTTCATCCATTTCAGGTGTACAATGCAGTGATCCAAAGACTCCCCACTTTCTCACCTGTGAAGAGTATCAAGAAGCAGGCAAACTTCAGCATTACTCATTGACCTCTGCCCACACCAATGAGAATTATGTGAACAGTCTATGTGAGTTGGCAAGAGGACGGGAGTTTTAGTTACACTGCTATGAAAGAAGGGTCCCCCCATCTTTGCCTGGATCATTCATGCATCTCCAAATGTGCCTTTCCCTTAACACAACATCTTCTATTCCTCAGCAATATAAAGAAAATATCATGAGAAAGAACCTTGCTTTCTTTTATTTATTTACCCCTTTAAGTGCCAGGGAAATACTTGGCATAGAGTCAGAATTAAATAATTATTTGATGGAAGAAGGGGTGCAAATTGTTAGCATACAGCTCCTTTATTAATAGCCATGTATGTTGGTAGCAACAAATAAAATGAATACAGTGTTATGCCATGGATGAATCTTTCATATTTGTGTATGTGTGTAGTTATCTAACTTAATATATGACAGATAAATATTACACAAGGAATGTTATCACTAGAATGTTTAAGACATTATGGTAAAAAATTCATATCCTCGTTGAGTATTTCTGTTATGCGTTCCTAGGAAAAACGATAGAAAATAAGAATGGAAAGTGACACATGCTATATAAGTTACTGTTTGGTAAATGATAGTCACAATTCTATTTAAAATACAGAGAAAGCCTGATTCTTTTTCTTTTTGATGAAATAAATAGCATGAGGTAGTAACCATACAGAAAGAGGATATTTAAAACAGAGCATCCCTGTAGAGGCCAAAGTGGTCAACAGTGCTTTTTAGCTGGGATGAAGTCATGGAGCTTCTTAGAATGAAGGACAGAACATAAGATTCATTATCGTGTAAGGTGAGACACCCAAATTGATCCTAAAGCCTAGGAATTCTGAAGAACATAGGAATTGGAAAATACAGACAAGGAAAGCTATAACCACTAATCCATTAAAGATATAGAAATTTTCCTTTTATCTCTGAGTCCTGGCAGAATTTTCAGAAAATAAAATATCTAGCCCTGCAACTTGTATATGTGCAGAGTTGTCATATTGTACAAGACTCACAGCTGATTAGTTAATAAAAATCCTAGTAACAACTCAGGAACATACAATATTTAAACTTGTGTATAATTTTAGAAGAAAAAGAATTTCCAGCAGAAGTAAATAGTCTTAAAATAACTAATTAACACGATAATACATATACATGAATGAACCCAAATGAAGAAAACTCAACATTAAGTTTTAAATTAACTTATTCATATTGAATAATTTAGACATAAAATCAAAACATGAAATAAAAAAGGAGCAAAAATGTATTTTAAAGGAAAAATAACTAAATTAAAACCCTATAAATAAAACTTAAAGGATATATTAGTTATAGAATAAAGTAATTCAAATTGAATTTATATACAATATGTAGTTAGTACTTAAAATGTATAAATGTGGAAGGAATAGAAATAAGGGTGTTGAGCACATTGGAAGATGGACAGACAGTATCAAGTACATGGAAACTCCAGGAAAAGTCAACAAGGACATGGGAAACATGGTCAGAGAGTGACAGTGATTGCAAAGTTAAGCGTTTCAAATAAAGGAACATATAAAGAACAAGCTGGGTCTGTGTTATTCACTAATGCACTGTTCTTCCTGTTGCCCTCTTACCAAGAATTTTAAGCAGACATGTTGAGCCTTATGCTCCTTAGCATTTCTAATTGTCATCAGTCAATTAGTCCAAATTACTTAGCGATCCATTATGCAAGAAGATATCATGACTTTTCAAAAATTATGAAGCCTTGCTTTCTTGATTAATCAACAAATGGCATTCATTCCCCTTACTATTAATTGTCAAATTATAAGGCTTTTGGTACCATTTGCATTTTTAATAACTTCATCTAATTGATTTGATTTTTTTCATTATTATAATATTTCTACTTTGTTCTTTAAATGTCACTATCTTTTTGAAAAGCTAAGGTAGAATAACTCTCAACCTGGAAGTTTTATTTATATAAAATGGTAATGAAGAGATAGAGAAAAACCAATGTGATTCTGGTTCTATATAGTATGTTGGACAAATTTTTAAAATATGAATTACAGACAGAAAAATACACTACCTAAGGAGAAATAATGCAAGGAATTTGAATGCTATATAGGTAAAATATAAATGACACTTTTGATTACTAAAAGTAAAATGAATAATATAGACTGTCTCGAACATATGTTTGGAATTCCTTCTGATGACCATGAGTACCAGAACCTGTATACTTTAACACAAACCTAAATTCACTATTACCCACTCCTGTGTTTCACTCAGGTTTTCAATGGAGATAAATGTTGTCTACTCACATGCATAAGGGTGATTCTTCTCTCTCAGTCTACTTACTCAAATACTTAATCTCATCCTGAAATAACTCAGAGGCAGAGCACTCCCAGAGGCATACCACAGCCAAAAATAATGTTTTGCCAGCTATTAGCTTCCTTAGTCTAGTGATACTAGCACATACAATTATTAGCCATCAGTGAGAAAAAAATCAAAGATATATATTTTCTTTTACTTTGTCAAAATTTACACAGCATCATACTCCACTAATCCCAGTTTCTTCTGAAACTTGAGGCAAAACATGGTCATCTTAGAGTAATTATAAATATTGTTCCTCAAAATAATTGTCTTAAAGGGTAAGGATCTAACTCAGTAGTGGAATGTCTTTCGTGTACAAGGCTGTGAGTTCCCTCCCAAGCAATACAAAAGAATGCTTGTGTAGAATAACTTAATACTCATATGCTTTGATTATTTTTTCTCACCAATATTTTTAATATAACATAATTGTTATCATTTATATTGTGCTCAGGAAACTTGTAGGGACAAAATGTAATTATTGAACTATAGATAAGAAAATTGGGTTTTTATGCCATCAACAAGTCAAGAGAAAGCACAAGCTTCAGCTTTATAATACTTGTTTTTGCCTCAAAATCTATGACTGTTTCTGATCTATGAGAAACGCTACTGATGCTTCAGAGACATATTTCATTGTCAAACCTATCCTCACACATGAAAAAGAGATGCTTGGTCTTCACAAAGCAGTATCACACAGCATATACTTATAGTATATCTATATGTAATAGTTTCAATTAATCTATATAAACCTCAAATAACTGTGAGTTTAATTCCAAATGTTTGTTTCTAATATGAGATAAACTAATCAAATGCACAACAGAAAACAACTCAGAGGTAAATTGAAATGTCAACGGGTATTTGAATAAAACACTAAAGTTGTTCTTTAATGAACAATTGGGTAGAACCAAGTAAGTGTGAAGGAAAAATCAGCAGCATGAAGAGACAATCTGCTGGAGGACTCTGTAGTAAAGCATAAAGCTAACTTCAAAAAATTATCTACAGTGGGTTTGCAAAAGCTGTTAAGAATCCCAGGAGAAAACTTTGAAAGATCTATGATGTTAGAGGGGGAAATTACCTTACAGAACCAAAAAACAACGTTATTTTTTATATTACTGATCTTTGGATATAAAGAAAAAGTAATGTTAATCAAAATGTCTACTTCTGAAAAGAACAGATTGATTTGTTGAAAAGCAAGATGCCTGCACCATGCAGCATTTGGAGCAACCATGGGCTCCACCTGTGTTCATCTGACAGCTGTCTGCAGCTGGATGAGGTTCAGTAACTGTTAAAGGTATCTGAGCTATTTAGTGGGAACAGGCCTCCCAAGATACAAATTTAAAATGTACTATATCCTATCAAGCTATGTGATGGTGCAAATAACTTTTTGACTTAGAAACAGTATTGTTTTCAACTTTAAACTTTATTTCTATAATTACTGATCGTATTGTTAAAATTAGTATTTTGTATACAAATTAATCTTACTAAATCACTCAATTGTACCTTATTTTTTTAAAAGATGAGATTTTTCTTCTGAATTACATACCATGCCCTGAACTTTATATTGTTCACTGACACACAGAATGCTAGTAAATCTCCACAAAGTCACAACATTGTAAATTCAGAATTGTAATTAGCAGGCACAGTCTATAGTGTTGACTGGTATGGATCCAGAGCAACAGCTGATTTGATTACTTCCATTTGCACCCTATAGGTGATGACCCAAGTACAAGGATACAAGGATTTAATGCTTAAATTTAAAATAATTGTTATTCTATTTAATATTCATTATTCTTTCAAAATTGATGTCTTCAAAATTTCAAGTTAATTTGCATGAAAACCTTAAATAAAAATGCTTTTTAATGTTAAAAAATAAATAGCTAGTTACAAGAACAAGATACAATAAATGTTTTTAAATAGGTTTCATTTAATCTTTTATTACATTTTATTTTACTCTTTTTTATTTTTATCATATGCTGGTCATTACTAAATGTTCAGCTCTACTTTAATGTACACAGAAATAATTTTAGTAAGTCATTGAATTGCATAAAAATTTTAACTACTCTGAATTTTTATCATTGACAGAATTTATTTTATGTTTTCTATTTCTTATCATCAACAGTGGCCCTTTCTCAATTTTCATGTTCTCATTTCTGAGACCACAGAGGGCCTCTTGGTTCCTTGGATCTTCACAAGTTGTCTCAATTTATTCTTTGTTCATAAGATAGAAGATAGATCTAATTGCAGTACAGTCTTTAGTTCCCCCTAGACTGCTACAGGACTAGGATTTAGTCTCCGATCACTAAACACTAAGTCTTTCCTGTTTAACATGCATTTTTTTCCTCAACAGAAGATTTTCAAAGATACATTCTAGGAGCTTGTGAAGCAGTTCCATCATTAAAAGTCCTTGCTGCTCCTGCAGGGGAATAGAGGTCACTTCTCAGGACTTACATGTAACTCTAGTTCCCTCTCCTGGAATCCACAGACATCTGTACACCAAATAAGTACACATAATAGACAGATGCATTTTTTTTTGTATGACTACCTCAGAAATTTTCAGTTTTTCTAAATCTTTGGCTATAAAAATGAGAGAAATGGATGTGTCTCATATCATACCATAACTTCGTATCTACTCACAATTCAAACCCAAGCTTGGAACTGCAGACATACAGGCCACGTAGGTTGCATTCAAGATCAGGTAGTAAATACCTTTTCTCTGCCAGTGCAGCAGCAAAATATTTCACACTGGTCACTAAAGTATGACCAGAAAGAAAAAGCATTTCATTTTTACTTTGCCAAAAGTCAATAATTTAAAAATAAATTCCATTCACCCGTATACCACTGGCCTATTACAGTGGCCTATTGTCAGAGCAAGAACCAGTGTAAAGATGAACTAACTCTAAGTAGACCAAGTTGGGAAGCAGGCTAAAACCCCAGGTTAGGAAGCATGTAGAAGCTGTTGCAACTCCAATTGCTTGATGCTATGTATGAAATTACCTGATTTATTTTCCAAGGAATAGAAAAGTTACTACAAAGAAAATCCTCAAGTCATCTGACTGCTACAGTGGGGTATTTAGTGGCCCACTTTATAGACATCTTCAGTGACAAAAATACTCAGGCGACATGGACAAAAAAAAATGGAAGAGGAAGGAAAGACTGATATAATATGAAAACTGAAGAGGTCCAAATAAAGTTTATTTTTCTCTTTATCCATTACAATCCCAATTATAGCAAAAATTATAGCACAAATTATTACTAATTACGAAAGAAATCATGTCTGTGCTATATGATGAGGAAAGCATAGTAATGCCTAGCAGGAACACTTCCCACAGAGGAGAGCTCCCTGAACTCTTTTTGTCTGTTCCCTTCACTTCCCACGCCTATTCACTGGATTCTCTGCCAAGGTTCTGGCCTCTGGTCTTTGTTCTATACTTTATGTACCTCAACTTTCTGACAATGCTGGTGCCACAATGTCACCTCTATTTGGAAAACTCCCAAACCATTTGCCAGTTCAGACCAGTTACTGGAATGGCAACTGCATCTCAACCTCTGATGAACATTTCTGCATGAAGATATTATCATATAAACCATATCATCTGAAACTCCAGGTCTCCATTCAGAGGTTGTGACTTTCACTCTTCTGTGTTTTATAGCATAGTTTTGCCAGTGACTCTAGACTCCAACATCTAGCTCAACTCTATCTATTAAACCCCCATTCTGATTCAATTTCCACATCCCTCTGTCATTAATAGTATCTAATCTTGGATAACTATCTCCATTGTGACTTTTTGTGATTATTCATCCAATGATAGCTATACTTAATTTTATAAATAAAAACCTCTCATTTTGTCTTTGCATATCTATTTCTGTTCATTAATTCTTTCCTTAGTTTTGTTTTCAAATCTTTTATTATGTCTTTGACATAAATTTAATTATAAAGCACTTGCTATACTTCTATTTTTTATTCAAGATTCTCCTCAAAGGAAAAATACCTCGGGTGGTAAGAGAGTAAAACCCTAGGAGAACTCTTCTTTATGGCCATGTAGTCATCAGATCTTAAGATAGGCAGGGTACAGGTACCTCCTCTAGACTTAAAAGGAACGCACTGGAGGATTTTATGGAAGCTGGCCACGAACATTACTAGGAGTCTTGGATTAAACTGTCCATTCTTTTTTTTCTGTCTCCATCTGGAAGACTCATGGGCTAAATCTTAAACGAAAAGGCAGGAGAGTCTTTGAATGAAGTCTCCTAAGCCTTGAGATATAAGGTTGGCCTAAATGAATATGGCCACTTTCCTTGTTAATTGTCTATTTGAATCAATAATTTTTATAATAGTATTTTAATGACTTCTGTTCTTGTAATGTAGACAAGTACTGCTTTTCCCTAGACATCACTCCAGCTTTCTCCTTTCCCGGGAAACACCTATATATCTCCAACATCTCATCACACTTTGTCTAAGTAACTTGTCACTCTCCTCTCCTAAGGCTATTATTACCCATTGCCATTTAACATGTACGTGATCAACTATAGACACCCACAATAGTTACTTTTCTGTTGCTAAAAAATAAATGAAAAAAAAAAACCCAAAAAATGGAAATTAAGGAAGGGTTTATTTAAGCTCACAGTTCCATGTAGTAGAATCCATAATGAAAGTAAAGTTTCAGGAGCTTAAGGCACCTTGGTCTCACTGGATTTCCAACTTGGAATCAGAGGAGAGACAAATGCATGTGTTCAGCTCATTTTCTCCTATTTATTTCATGATCCCATCAGAAGGAATGGTGCCAGTTATGGGGGAGTGCCTTCCCACCTCAATCTACTCAATCCACTTCAATAATCCTAGAAAGGCAGGTTCAGAGATGTGTCTGCCAGATGAACTCAGATCTCATCAAGTTGACAATTCACCATCATAACATTCAGCTAGATTGTAACTCATTAGAGGCATGATAAGTTCCTTTTAGTTTGAGTTTTCTACATCAACTACCAGCATGGTAAAATATCTCTAAAGATACAATACTAGCATTGACAATACCAGCATCTCTCGAATTGCACTTAAGGTCTACTCAAAAACAAGGAAAGAAGTCCTAGTACTGAAAACCTACTGAATTACCCAGGGCTAGAGAGAACAAGATCTTAGAGGAGAATTTAACTACTGCTATATCCAACCTTTTCTAAGGCAAAAGGCTAGCCCATTATAATCAGAAATGGGAATTTTGTGAGACTCCTAACAGTGAGACTGACCTGACTCACTTGCCTGCTCTTGGGTCACTTTTTCTCCTACTGGGACACCTCACCCAGCCTTGATAGAAGAGCTTGTGCCTAACTTGGTATGCCATGCTTATTGCTATCCCTAAGAACCCTGATCTTTTCTGAAAGAGAACAAAGCAGTAGTGGAGATGGGGACAGGGGAGGAGGGGACAGGTAACTGGGAGGAGTGGAGGGAGGGGAGTCTGCAGTCAGAATGTATTGTATAAAAGAAGAATAAAGAAAAAAAGAATTATAGTGAAGAAAGGTATGACAGAGCCCCTATGTCCATACAAAAAGTTAACAGCTGCACACAAGCATAAAGAGTGGCAAGTATAGTTAGATATTCTAAATTAATGTTAGCAAACTCTAGTAAATTACTTAATTTCTCACTTATTACAACCAATTTTTAAAAAATTTTTTGTATGAAATTGTCATTAAATATAGGAAACAGAATGTTTATCATTAAAAAATAAATCAGAAATATCATAGGGCTGTGACTACACCAGTTTCTTTTCAATTTTGTACTCACAGCACTAGCTGGAGAAATAAGGCAAGGGAAAATTTAAAAGAAATATAAATTGGCAGAGTAGAAGTCAAAATATCTCTATTTTCATATGATATGCTTTTATAACAAGAACTCAAAAAAAAAAAAACCCAGAAAACTTCTAGAAATTATCAGCAAAGCAGCAGGATGCAAAAATCAACCTATGAAAATCAGAAGCCTTTTTATATACAAATAACAAAACACACTGAGAAAGATGACATGCTCCCACTTCATTCCCAACAGTCTCAAGAATGTATCTAAGAACAAACTTAACAAAGACCTCTGGAAAATAAATTAGATCTCTGAAGCAAAAGACCAGTGCCTTTTCTCTGACAAATCAATGTAAGGAAAATAGAGTTAAATTCTGGTTTAATACCTAAAGGTACATCCAGTCCACCATGAAAGCAGCATAAGACAGGTGATGACAACCAGTCTACTGGTAGGAAGCAGAGAAAGGTGGAGGCTGGGATTCAGATCACTTTTTACATTTATTCTGTCTAAGACCAAGACTATGGAATGATGTTGTCCATATTTAAGGTGGGACTTTCTGCCTCATTTTTCTGCTTCTTTATACATGTAACAATAACAAAAGAATTAGAGGCCATAAACCTGAGAGGGAGCAGAAAGGGTGCATATGTGAAAGGAGGGAGGAGAGGAAATGGGAAATGATGTCATTTTTAAAAATTAAAAACATTTTTAGAAAAAAGAAAAGGAATTAATCTAACCCTATAAGGAGCCAAAAGCTATTAAACTTTTATTTTTGTTATGTTAACAGTCATGAAATACTACACACAAGCCAGAGAGTTTTTAAAAATATATTTTAATTATTATAATGCAACCTATTCTGTGATTCCTTAAGCATTGGTAGTAAGAAAAATATAACAACACATTCTGCTATAATTTTAAAGCCTTCTCTATCCACCTTTAAATCATCTGTTCTTATTCCTTCAACCAAACTTAACACTTTTCTCTTCCAGTGTATCAGTCATGCCTATCATGTCACTGTATAAATTACTCCATGTAACCACTGGAAATATACAATATGCTACTGAAGGCTTCTTCATTAAAAATTTCCATCAAGTATTAAGTTCAACATTACCAGTATCATTTATAATTTAAGGTTATATTATTTGGTCAATTTAAATGCTTTCAAAGGCATTTAAAGATGTTGGCATCTAGAAATCTAAAAGATAAAAAAAATTATGATATTGTTATCTCTCTATTTATAAAAAAATAAAATTTCTTACTGTTAGTCTCCTCGAAGGTACATATAACTCAGCCACTGCAGAGTCTTTTAACTCTGCATCAAAAAGAAAACTTTCCCTGGATAATGAAGAGATGATTGAGTCGTCTTCTTCAATCAGACTTCTATACACCTTTATACGACGTCGACCCTGGCCCGTCAGCATGACATAAAGTCCATCATCACCAATCACTGAAATAAATTGAAACCAAATATATATATCTAACACATCGATTAAACCTGGTATATCTCAAGCTAATTCCTGCCAGCCTACAGTAGCCCAATAACCTTGAGCTCCCAAAGTCAGAAAAGAGTAACATAAATGTTTGATTTATTCTATTATTTTCAGTTTGCAATATTTTTATTTTTACATGTATAATTACATTAGCACCTTTTCCCATTTCTAAACCATGTCCTGTAGTCACTCATCTTCTCAGGTAACTATTGGATTTTAATAAAAAAGAGAACAAGGTAACATTCATTATTTATAGACGTAAGCCATTATGAGAAAAATAGGATTAGGAAAATCTTTAACCCTTATCTTGTCTCCACAAAGTCGCCATTTTCCTGCTTTATATAGCAAGGCATCCCTACTAATAATTTAATTAACATCTGCTCAGGAAAGACAGTGGGCAGCACTTGCCCTACTTCACATTAAGTCTCTGTAACCTGTTGCCCTACCTTATTCTTGAAGATCAGTTGTGTACCTTCAGCCCTGGCAAGTATATTCCACTGTTAGTACTGTGATACAACTCAAAATCACTTCCAGTTCTTAGAAAGCATACTTTTTGGAATACAGAAAGTGGGTGATGTATTTTCCCATTTCATGAATCGGAAAATTCATGATTACATCACATTATGAATGGAGAACACCATTAGAGTGTGAGGTCATTTCTTACAGGTTACCCATCCACTTCCTGTAAGTAGAAACTTTGCAAACTGATTTTCATCAGGCAATTATATGTCTTTATACTACCCTAATGTCATCAATTGCTCATATACTCTGCATTTTTCGCTAACTTGAGAATTTTTACTTTCAATTATTACTCTCCCAATGCTATGGGAGAGTAATTTTAAATATTTTTTAAGCAGACATTAGTTTTGCATGGATGTCTGCGATTAAAATGGGTTGCATTCTGGGTGGTACGTTATCAGGCACTAAATAATCTGTGTGGTGAGATAACTGAAAAAATTAATTAGTTCATCTATGACTGCATACAGCAAAGAGAGGAGAAAAATAAATCACAAGATATACAGACGTCGCATCTATGTTGAGGCTTTGGGCAGGTTAACAGTCATTGTTCCCATTAAAAGTGATAGGAAGAGAGAGCAAAAATACCAACCAACCACAGCTCCCAGGGTCTAAACCAGAAGCCCTGGAGCACTTAGAGGGGGGGATCCAGGGCTTCAGCTGAATATATAAGAGTGGAGGGCCCTGCTGGGCATAGGTGGAAGAAGAGAACCTTGACCTCATGAAGGCTGGATGCCCCAGGGGGTGGGAATTTTGAGGGTGGGGAGGTGGGAGTGGGGGGGTAGATAGAGGTTACATCCACAGAGAAGAAGGAGGAGGGGTGAGGGGATTGGGGGTTCCTGGGTGGGTGGGGGATGGGGTAAGGGGACAACATAGGAAATGTAAATAAAACATCCAATTAAAAAAAAAGAAAGAAAAAAAAAGTGATAGGAAGATATGTCCAGTGTAGATTCTGATGCATGTTGCTACTCTCTTTCTCAGGGTAATTTGTCTTTTTTCCACCTTGGCTAAAAAAGCTGCAGTTTTATTGGATGCCATACAAGCAATGTTAAAAATACTACTTCACACATACTCTTAATATGTGTGTTCACACAGTACTATTTGATTAGTAAAATACTAGGAGACTGTTTTCAAGTATTGCCATCCATTCTTCATGCTGCTAAGAACCAGGATATGATGATGGAACTAAGAAAAATATATAAAATGAAAAGTGGAACAATTAAATAAGCCTAACATTTTCTAAGTGAGTTCCAGGTGTTTTATTATGATGTAAGATAAATAAGTCCTTAGTTTGTTTGAATAATGCCCTTTAACTCTCTATTATAGAAGCTGAATTCTGTGTCTGCATGCATGCTGTTGATATTTTTTTAGATCTATGTATGATTGGTTCGTGTATTACTAATATATAGTTAAAATAATATGGAGAATATAACCTATATATACACTATCAAATTTAAGCAACTATAATTAAAGAAAAGTATTTTATAAAAGGAGTAGCTATAGATAACTCTCAGAAATGTAACATCCAAATGTAATGTTATTTGGTTTGCAAGTCCATATATGAATAAGTCAGATCTGATAAAAAAATATATTGTTGTGTGTAAATTCCTGATGTAAAAATCTCACATCATTATGATAAAATCTACTTCCCAGTAATCTCCCTTACAATTCATGGAACATCATCAGCAGGTATACATGTGCTAATTAGTATACAGCTGTCACACTAGAAGCTGCAAGCATAAGCAGCATGCTCCAAAGGAAACATGTTCACCTTGTGAATGAGAGAAACTTCACTGATCTTTTAAAGAAAACATTCCTGTCCTTTAGGCTTTGTTGAGTGACAGTAAGTTTTGTATATAGTCTCTGTTTAGACGAATCTGTGTTTAAAATAAGTCCATGAAAGAGTCAAACAAACTGGAAGATTTACAGGACCATGGAAAAATATTTAGACAGGAACATATGTTATAACCACAAACTATACTTATCAAAAAGTTTAAATTAAGCTAGGCTATAAGCTTCAAAGTACTGTATGGGTAAGACAAATGATTAGCAAGGCGTGGTCATAATCAAGATGTAATGTATATATACAAGATTGTTGAAAGATAATATGTGTGTATACATACACACATATATACATACATATGCTGCATTTTTAAATTCAAGAGACTGGTGTTTTAAAATGTTTTTAATATTAAGACAACATGTTAATATAAAGAGTAAAAAACTGCTAAAGGAAAAATGAGTGCCCCTTCGTGAAAGCAAATAATTTATAAGCCCTGTTTTAAGTGCATTGTTATATTATAGGCAGTTTGAAATACATTCTATGTGATCATTATTGTTAACTTTATTGATATTTTGGATCAGGTATTATTCTTGCTCTAATTCTATAAACAATAAAACTGAAGGCCGTGAGAAAGGAAATATTGTCTCTAAGTCCAGAACCCTGATATTAGTACAGAAAGTTTTCAACACAACAAGCCTTCAAATTCCCATCTTGGTTAGTGTAATCTATGTGTGTGTGTGTGTGTGTGTGTGTGTGTGTGTGTGTGTGTGTGTGTGTGTGTGT